CCTGTGAGGAGGGCAGGAAAGGCCTGGTGAATTTTCTTTTCTTTTTGTTTTTAGACACAGTCTTGCTCTGTCGCCCAAACTGGAGTGCAGTGGCATGATCTCGGCTCACTGTGCCCTCCCTTTCCTAGGTTCAAGTGATTCTCCTCATTCATAGAACATGACAGTCAGTTTCTTATTGCTATCCATGTTACCACTTTGTTTTAAAAGTTGGATAAAGTTTGATAAATAGAATGATCTCTCTTTCTAATTTGTTTCTCCTAAGTGGATCTCCTGAGAATAGCTTTGGGACCCCCAACCTCGGGCTCTCCATGCATCTCTTGAGGCGTTCTGTAAAATGCCAGCTGTATGGTATGTGCCCACAGAAACAACAAGTCAATTCTCTCTTTTTGAAATTGTGACTCCCACTCTCCCCCAGTTCTTCTAAAGGTTTCCTTTTAAAGAAAAGCCATGGTTCACTGCCACTGAAAATCGAAGACAAGAGCATAAAGACCAAGGTCCAGGCTGGTGCTAGCAGTGACAGAACATTAAAATAATCGCTCAAATTTCCTTCCTTGAAAATTGACAAAGACTACTAATGGAAAGCCAATCTCCAGAATGCAGATTCATTTCAGAATTTTTGCACTTGTAGCTCTTTGTTCAAAAATTATTCTGATTAAAATGAATTGGAAATGTTGAGATGAAATAGGGGAGGTAATGACATACCAAAAAAGAAATTGTATGTGCCTCCCCCACTCCATGACATAACATAGAGTACCTAGAAAAACAGGAGGGCTTATTAGGCAAAGACTTATTTACAAGGTTGAAGAGAAAAGGAATTAATTGACTCTTCCCTCCATCAAGCTTTGCTTCTGGCCTCTCCAACTACACCAAGTTTGCTCCACCAGCTTCTCTCTTCTACCTCCCCTTAGTTCCAGATTATGTTTGGTCATCAGATTTATAACTTATGTACCTCAGACTTCCTTCCCATTTGCTGAATCCATATTTTCAAGATTCTTGTTTTTTCTTACCCCAAACTGGAGGTCTGGCCTCACATTGGCACGATGGCTTGGGATGGTATTCTTGATGCCCAACTATTAGTACTAGACTTGCAGCTTTAGCAGTTCAGCTAGATGAGTTCAGGTTCCTTCCCCAAACATGGAAAATGTCAAGGGTATTTTCAAAGCATATAAAGTATCTCTTTTCCACTATACAGCATTTAAGAAGTTTGTCAACAGAAATATATGGTCACTCTGGAAGAAGAGACTGATCGAGTACACATAATAGCTACATTATAACCTGGTAAATCAGATATTCTCAAGAGACCGGTAAAGGTAAAGAGATACGAGAGAACAAACAGGAGAAACAGGAAGACTTTAGGTGAGCTTTCCTTTCTTTTTTTTTTCTTTTTTAGTTCATTGGACACTTAGAGGCATGAAATTAAAACTCGTGAAAAACATATCGACTTGCTGTGGTGACTCAAAAGTTGTCGTTTCTCGACTCAACTTTGCTGAAACATTTGATTCATGTTGTTCTTATTTAACCTAATTTGCATTGATTTAATCAGTGCTGGTATGCTTTAAATACATAATAAATTGGAATTCTGCAACTTAGATGACTTAGAATAGCTAAATTTCAATAAAGCTCATTTCAATCTGTTAATGTATACCGTTCTGCCAAGGGGTTTAAAACTAGAAAAGATGCAAACTTGCCACATTAGAGGTGGGAAAGGCTTAAAGATACCATATAGATGAAACGATTTGCAGGATAATAATGTGAAAGGCAGTGTGTGCGTGTGTGTGTATACACACGCATGCACACACGCACACACACACACACACACACATATATATATATATAATTTATTTTAATTACAGCCTAGGAGCATCCTCTAAGTTCTGAGTAGCACACTTAGAAGAAAACTCACATATAAATCAGTGAATTTAATTTTATTTCCTTTCTTTCTTGCCAACACTCAACTCTTCTGCCTCTCTGTACCAGCTCCACAAATCAAGTGACATCCAAAGTGGGACCTCTTCTTGCCCATTTGGCAGCCTCTGTCACCACTTTGCCAAGCAGCCTGCATTAGGAGGATTTTTTCCCCCAGCAGCCCTGGGGATTGGGTGGTGTGTACTCACAGTTCTCGCTGAATGGCTGGCCGCTGTTTAACCCTGCCTGTGCCTGCTCAACACCCCTCCCCCACCTCCCAACCCTTTAGCTTTTACGGCTCAATCAGCTGGCCTGCTGTCAGGAATAATTGTCTTGGCAAGAGGTGAAACCACTTGATGGTGAATTTGTCTGTCTGTTAAAGCGTTCCGCAGCACCTTGGAGGTGCCAGGATGAAACCTGCAAATGCCAGATCCAGAATTAGGTAAGTAACAAGAGTGACAGAGAGGGAACCATCAAGAATGGCAAATACATAAATTGTACTTTGAGGAGGAATAGTTAAAAAAAAAGAAGAAGAAGAAAGAAAGAAAACCATCTGTGCATCTGTGCCAGTTACAAGCTGTATGACCTTGGATAAACTGTGATGTCTCTTGGCCTCACTTTTGTCACGTGCAAAATTAAGCGGGTTGATTTTCTAATGTCTCTTCTAACTCCTAAGACAGCATGTGATGTCTAGGACATTTCAGATTTGTGTTCCTTCCAATTAAATGATACATCTCAGAGATGAATGACCAGGGCACAGCTCAGATGAATACAAAATGGAATGATTCATGCCCCTGTTCATATGACTTTTCCTGAAAAGTACCACCAGTCTTTGGTGACTTTGATTCCATTGGTTGGTCTCTTCAGCTTAGATGCTAAGGACCAATCCAGTTACTTGTCCAGTCTGTCTACCCAGGCTCTGGTAATCCACCCTCATTTCTATCAAAGTAAGCGCCACTACAGATAATGCCCACTGATTTTGAGTTTCTTAGAGGCAGAAATGATAGGAATTCAAAGAGCAGAGCTGGAGACTCACATTTGACTCTCCCTCTGATCACCCTGGGCATCTTTGTCAAGAAGGAAGGCTTACCCACACTCACTTCCCGCAGGCTTTCTCAGCCATCTTAAGGATTTTGTTTAAACAGATGACCAGCTGACCCTCTCCAGGTCAGACTCTTTCCAGACAAGTTGGCACAAGGTGTTGTGTGTGGGGGGTGGGGGGTGGATGGGGAGCTCATTGTAAGGACTCTTATCTGTAAATGATTGTGAATAGAAATAATGAGGCAAAGGCTTCTCTTCACATTTAGAGGAAAAAGTGGCACAATTTAATACAGTCTCAAAGCTTAATCAGGAATGTGTGTACGGAGATGGGTAGGATTCATTATGGCTTAAACTACCACATCCCCACACATTCACAGTCTTCTGGAGTGGAGTTCACTGCAGGGCCCAGTAATCACCATGAACAGCACAAGTCTGGGTTAGCCCTCCCCATGTCAGACAGCAGAATCGTTCTTTAATCCATCCTGTACCCCATAGATATCTGTGGAGCCTGATGAAGCCCCGCGGTGATCTCAGTCAAGTCTCCCTGTACACAGACATACCTTTTTGCCACACTGGATCTCACACCACCGGACTGGGATGGCTTCCCAAACTAGGTGGGTTTGGAAAACATTTCCCCCATCCACCTCAAAAAAAGAGCTGGCTGACTGCAGGATTCCAGTGCCCACAAGGGAAAGAAAACAACAACAACAACAACAACAAAAACCCTTAGCCAAGCCCCAAATCATTGCCTTCCTGTATCTTCTCTCAAGTTGCTTTTCTAAAGCAAAGGACCAAATGTTGATTTCTCTACAGATTCCTACGTATCTCTTACACGTAGACAGTTTTAAAGGGGAAAAGAATATATCCCCAAAAGGGAAGGTGGGAGAGCACAGACTATTTTAGTTTCCCACTTGGAAATATCTTGTCGTGGATGATGCTACCCCTACCTCCACCTCCCTCCCCCCTCCTTTTTTTTTTTTTTTTTTTTGAAATATGGACAAAAAAGCTGAAAGTGTTTTCCGTTTCATCAAAGAACATATATTACTTTAGTGGTTCGGTAAAATGTTGGTTTTATGCCCACCCCTTTTCAATCTGCCCATGTCTGAGGTGCTCGGGAAAGACGCACAATCGTGAGCAGCTTACGACACTCAGTGAGCAGTAGGTGCCTGTGCAAGCTCGCGCCGCACACTGCCTGGTGGAGGGAAGGAGCCCGGGCGCCGCTCGCCGCTCCCCGCGCCGCCGCCCGCACCTCCCCGCCGCCCGCAAAGCATGAGTGAGCCCGCTCTCTGCAGCTGCCCGGGGCGCGAATGGCAGGCTGTCTCCGCGGAGTAAAAGGTGGCGCCGGTCAGTGGTCGTCTCCAATGACGGACATTAACCAGATTGTCAAATCCTGGGGAGTCGCGAGCCCCGAGTTTGGAGTTTTTTCCCCCCACAACGTCACAGTCCGAACTGCAGAGGGAAAGGAAGGCGGCAGGAAGGCGAAGCCCGGGCTCCGGCACGTAGTTGGGAAACTTGCGGGTCCTAGAAGTCGCCTCCCCGCCTCGCCGGCCGCCCTTGCAGCCCCGAGCCGAGCAGCAAAGTGAGACATTGTGCGCCTGCCAGATCCGCCGGCCGCGGACCGGGGCTGCCTCGGAAACACAGAGGGGTCTTCTCTCGCCCTGCATATAATTAGCCTGCACACAAAGGGAGCAGCTGAATGGAGGTTGTCACTCTCTGGAAAAGGGTGGGTAAGACACTTTTTAATTAAATTCTTTCCCGAAGATTTTTTTTTTCCTCCCTTTTCTTTGCTGCAGCATCTAACATGGACCAAATCACCATCTCTTTGATCTTTCCGTGGCTGTGAACTTTCTATGCTGCCCAGCTTTCTGCATGCTTAGAGGTGAACGTGTGGTTTTGGGGAGGGGGGTCCTTCTTTATTTCTATGTATTTATTTGATTTTTTGCCCTTTTCTCCCCCTCCCCCGCTCCCCCTCCCTCGGAATAAAATATGATGTAGATTTCTGACCGAGCGCTTCCAATGGACATTCTCCAGTCTCTCTGGAAAGATTCTCGCTAATGGATTTCCTGCTGCTCGGTCTCTGTCTATACTGGCTGCTGAGGAGGCCCTCGGGGGTGGTCTTGTGTCTGCTGGGGGCCTGCTTTCAGATGCTGCCCGCCGCCCCCAGCGGGTGCCCGCAGCTGTGCCGGTGCGAGGGGCGGCTGCTGTACTGCGAGGCGCTCAACCTAACCGAGGCGCCCCACAACCTGTCCGGCCTGCTGGGCTTGTCCCTGCGCTACAACAGCCTCTCGGAGCTGCGCGCCGGCCAGTTCACAGGGTTAATGCAGCTCACGTGGCTCTATCTGGATCACAATCACATCTGCTCGGTGCAGGGGGACGCCTTTCAGAAACTGCGCCGAGTTAAGGAACTCACGCTGAGTTCCAACCAGATCACCCAACTGCCCAACACCACCTTCCGGCCCATGCCCAACCTGCGCAGCGTGGACCTCTCCTACAACAAGCTGCAGGCGCTCGCGCCCGACCTCTTTCACGGGCTGCGGAAGCTCACCACGCTGCATATGCGGGCCAACGCCATCCAGTTTGTGCCCGTGCGCATCTTCCAGGACTGCCGCAGCCTCAAGTTTCTCGACATCGGATACAATCAGCTCAAGAGTCTGGCGCGCAACTCTTTCGCCGGCTTGTTTAAGCTCACTGAGCTGCACCTCGAGCACAACGACTTGGTCAAGGTGAACTTCGCCCACTTCCCGCGCCTCATCTCCCTGCACTCGCTCTGCCTGCGGAGGAACAAGGTGGCCATTGTGGTCAGCTCTCTGGACTGGGTTTGGAACCTGGAGAAAATGGACTTGTCGGGCAACGAGATCGAGTACATGGAGCCCCATGTGTTCGAGACCGTGCCGCAGCTGCAGTCCCTGCAGCTGGACTCCAACCGCCTCACCTACATCGAGCCCCGGATCCTCAATTCTTGGAAGTCTCTGACAAGCATCACCCTGGCCGGGAACCTGTGGGACTGCGGGCGCAACGTGTGTGCCCTAGCCTCGTGGCTCAGCAACTTCCAGGGGCGCTACGATGGCAACTTGCAGTGCGCCAGCCCGGAGTACGCACAGGGCGAGGACGTCCTGGACGCTGTGTACGCCTTCCACCTGTGCGAGGATGGGGCCGAGCCTACCAGCGGCCACCTGCTCTCGGCCGTCACTAACCGCAGTGATCTGGGGGCCCCTGCCAGCTCGGCCACCACACTCGCGGACGGCAGGGAGGGGCAGCACGACGGCACATTTGAGCCTGCCACCGTGGCTCTCCCCGGCGGCGAGCACGCCGAAAACGCCGTGCAGATCCACAAAGTGGTCACGGGCACCATGGCCCTCATCTTTTCCTTCCTCATCGTGGTCCTGGTGCTCTACGTGTCCTGGAAGTGTTTCCCAGCCAGCCTCAGGCAGCTCAGACAGTGCTTTGTCACGCAGCGCAGGAAGCAAAAGCAGAAACAGACCATGCATCAGATGGCTGCCATGTCTGCCCAGGAATACTACGTTGATTACAAACCGAACCACATTGAAGGAGCCCTGGTGATCATCAACGAGTATGGTTCGTGTACCTGCCACCAGCAGCCCGCGAGGGAATGCGAGGTGTGATTGTCCCAGTGGCTCTCAACCCATGCGCTACCAAATACGCCTGGGCAGCCCGGACGGGCGGCGGGCACCAGGCTGGGGTCTTCTTGTCTGTGCTCTGATATGCTCCTTGACCCTTGACTGAAACTTTAAGGGGATCTCTCCCAGAGACCTGACATTTTAGCTTTATTGTGTCTTAAAAACAAAAACGAAATCAAACACAACAACTACAACAAAACCCCACCCCACAACCTTCAGGACAGTCTTAAATTTCATATGAGAACTCCTTCCTCCCTTTGAAGATCTGTCCATATTCAGGAATCTGAGAGTGTAAAAAAGGTACCAATCATTGATTTTTTTTTTTTTTTTTGTAAACTAAAATGTTTAAAATAAAATAGCATTTACAGTTTTTACAGACTGGTGTAACCTAAATGAATTGTTACCTGTGTTACAAGAAAAGCAACTGTTAAAATTTTGGGGAGGTGGGGTGCAGAAGGGAGTTGTCCAGTGGCCGGAAGGAAAATCCAGGAGCAAAGTAGTCAGATTCAACTTGAAATTTTAAAGAAGGGCAAGCAAAGCTTATCAGATTAATGATTTATGTTAATATACTCCCCGTGAGTAAGGACTGGAAAAAGAAAAAGAGCAGGACCCTTTATGTTATTGGGGCAGAGACAGTGCAATCTAACCACCTTCAGGCAAGTGAGAGGTGGACTGAGGACTGGGCATCATTGCTCAGCCTTTAAGCCAGAGAGCATTGCAAATGGCTTTTAAAAGGCAGTGCCAGGCAGTGTAACCAGTGTTACCTTAACGTAACCATCTTTCAAATCAGATCAGAATCTCATCCCAAAATACCACCTGTTCTTAATTCTCCTGAGTCTTTGATTCACCAGACACATTAGCATTTGTGCCCTTCCCATACCCTCCTGTGTTAAAGGGAGCCCCTCAGCTCACTGCTCTCTTTGGTCTGGCTGAGGGTAAGGAGGCGGAATCCCGATTTTCGGGGCTGAAAGCTGTGCTTCTGGAGCACATTGCTAAGACTGCAGCAAGCTTAGGTTCCCATCAGTGACAGCACATTCCTAGTTTCTGGGGAATGAGGAGAAAAGCCTACCTCAGGATGAATGCCTGCAGGGTAATGACTTGTAGCAAGAGACTTCAGGGGCAGAGGTGACAGAGCTGTGATGGGGGTGGAAAGAGTGGGAGAAGATAATCATTTGATCCTGTGTTTGCATATTTCTGAGATGGGAATAATTTGTTAACCCGGGATAAAAAAAAGCTGCCTCTCCTCAGATTGCCCTTTTGTATAATGCTTGCTTTCCCTGTTTCTTTCCTTTTTTCTTTTTTCTGTGTCTGGATTGATGATTGCTCCTTCTCACCTCTCAGGTTTCCAGGTCCATCATTAAGATTTCAGTTTCTGTTGAACTAAGGGTGAGGAGGTGGTGGGTACAGAGAAGGGAAGGGGAAGGCTGTGTGCATTGGACAGAGGGGGTCCTTCATCAGATGACAATTTAAGCAAATGTATGATTGAAATAAACTGTCATAAATGACAGGCACTGAAAACTGAACCAATGTAGCTCATGTCCCAGAGTCTTTCTCTTCCTTCTCTAACTGATACTAAAGACTTGTATCTTTCTGTTTCTATTTTTCCTTTTTTAAGAGCAAAGCCCAAAAAAGCAGAAAGAGGGATGAGGGGTGGAGAACCACACATTACCATCCCCCAAAATGCAAATCCCTCCAGCTACCAACCTTAGGAGGCAAAGTCAGCTTTTTGAAATGCAGAATGGCATCACCAGAAGGTTTCCTTAAGCTAAGGGTTGATGGTAGGTTTCTCATCTACCTGTGGAGAAACCAGTATGCCTAAAAATAGTGCTTCTAAGAGTCTCTTTCAAGAGAAATATTTTGCAAATATCTTTTAAGATGTTAAGCCCTGGGAGACAGCTTCCTACACACACACACACACACACACACACACACACACACACACAACACCCTAGCTCATTTTTCCTGACCAGGAAACTTCATCTTGCTATATTTATAATTAAAACATGACAGTAACACACATCATGCACATAAAACCCATTCAGACTGTTAGTGTTCTAGAAGAGAGGTGCTTTGTTTGATAACTTTGAGGAGGGGGTTTCGGATTTAGCCCAAGCATAGTCATTTGGGTCTGCCTTTCTAAATAGCATATCACTCCGAGAGCAGAGGTAGCAGGAGCAAGATTCTCTCAGGGATGCACCTCACCTCTATATTTAAACCCTACTAAAGCGACCTCCTCTAGAAGACAGCATACCTTTTTTAGGAAAAAAAAAGTGTAGCAACTGAAGGAGGGCTCCTTGGATTCCATGAACTTAACCATCTCATAGGAAGGCTACAGGAATCCAGCGCCCAAAGCTGCTCTGGCTTGGTGCATTAAAGAGCTGTGTGGGTGTGCTTATAGGGAAAGCTTCCAGAAGCAAAACCTTTCTGGCAAGCATCAGAACCACAGGTCCCCTCCTACTCTCTAGAAATCTGAATCTTGGAAACTGTAGTTTATCTCCTTCCCCAAGACATTTTTATCTTTCACTCTTCTTGTTTCAAGGTGGCCATAAGAAAGGGAAAGAATAATCATGCTTTGTTTTATGCTACTCCCACCACCCTGTCCATGACTAAATATCATGTATGTAGAAGATCTTAAGTCCATGAACATTTCATGAAGAACCATTGGAAAGAGGAATCAGCAATCTGGGAGCTTAAGAGAAATGATGACCATGGGAAGCTGTGTTCTTACTTGGTGTGCGTGTGTCTGTATGTTTCTGTGTTGTGTGTCTTTGCAGGCAAGCAAATGTTTTCTACACAAACAGGAATTTAGCTCACATCATTTCATGCCCATGTGCTTCTAGCTCTGAAGAATGGCCCAGGGGAGGGGGCAGGGGGGAACGGTAAGAATAAGGGAAAGCAGTAGTTTTAACTAAGGTTTTGTAACACTTGAAACATTTTCTTTCTCAAATTAATTAATCTTTAAGCTTCAAGAAACTTGCTCTGACCCCTCTATGCAAACTACTAAGCATTTAAAAGAGAATCTAATTTTTAAAGGTGTAGCACCTTTTTTTTATTCTTCCCACAGAGGGTGCTAATCTCATTATCCCGTGCTATCTGAAAAGAATTTAAGGCCACACTTCACTTCTCATCCTGGGCATTGTGATGGATTGACCCTCCATCTGCAGTGCCTTCCCAGCTGATTAAAGTTCAGCAGTGATATTGAGGTTTTTCGAATATTTATATAGAAAAAAAGTCTTTTCACATGACAAATGACACTCTCACACCAGTCTTAGTCCTAGTAGTTTTTTAGGTTGGACCAGAGGAAGCAGGTTAAATGAGACCTGTCGTTTCCTGCACTCAGAAAGAAAAGGCAGTCCCTCATGCTCAGATCTTAGCCTCGTCATTAATAGTTGAGACCACCTACCCCACAATGCAGCCCACACTCCCAAAACTGCAAAGTTACCATCACAAAGAAAAGGTTATTCCAGTAAAAGGAAATAGTTTTTTAAACCATTTAAAAATATTCTTCTGAGCTCATCAAAGTAGAAGAGTGCCCTACCTTTTCTCCCTGCCTTCAGGAAGGCAGACATTTGGTATGATTTAGCATCATCAACACATTTATGAATATGTGTAAGTCATTAGAGGGGCAAATGCCACTTGTCATTCATCCCAAGTTTTCCAAGCAACTACACACAGACCTCTTGTAGCAGTGGGGGTCACTTGTGTTTCTGGCTTATTTTAGTCAGCTTGTCAGCAAGTTTGATGCCTAGTGTATCTGACATGGCCCAGGAAGAGGACATTGATGGATCACATGAGATGATAAAAGGAATGTACATACCCTTCTCACAGAGAAAATTATCAAATAACTAAAACTTATATCTGTTTTGGAGCAAGAAGATCATAATGTTTCAGGGTAGTCGACATAAACATCAATTATCTCCTCTAGATGAGTGTAATGTTGGTTGATTTGGGTCAGCCATTGACAGAATGACAAATAACAAGGAATTAGCCAGAATATGACCATTAAATAGGCTTCTGAAATATATTTTGAGAGAGGTTTAGGAATAAACACACACACTCTTACCTCTCAATCTATTTCTGTATATATAACAGCACACACACAATCATGCACACCTATATGTGTGTGTCTATATATATGTCTATAAAACCATATACAACCACACACACATACATATATAACCATACACACACACACACACACACACGCACGCGCGCAGGCCGGTGGCCAAATTATGTAATTAGTGGCCTTCTGTCACTAATTACACTAATACTTTCTTCTTGATAATCAAACTTTTATTCAGGAAATGATCTGATAAAATCAGTGACGGTTAATACATAATGGATTGATACGGCTGGTGGTATTTTCAGGCATTAGTTAATGAGTAGGTAGATGCTTTGCAGGCTGGGGAGCTTCCGGGCTCCTTATGCCATGGCAGAGTGTAACCTGCTGTCTAGTGGAAAGAGCCAGCAAATTAGAATATATTTTTTTGAGGATTTTCCACCTCAGGGTTAAGATGCATATTTTTTCATTAAGGAATGCTCTAATTTTTGTTTTTCTTTTCTGGGATTCAGGAGGCAAAACTCTTACTTCTGATAGGGCATCATCTCCTGGCCTTGCTCAACTGAACACAATTTCTGAAGCCCTTTGGTTTTTTACTCAAAGCAAAGGTCCTGGCTATTGAATTCTTACAGTTTAGACAAAGATATAAATGAGATGGAGAAATACAATTTACTGAGCAGTCACTGGTATGGTGCCTCTACCTACATCACAATAAGTGAGGGAGCTGCTAGCAACCTTATCTTCACACGAAGAACCCGAAGAACCCGAGGCTTACAGAGGTCAAGTACACTGTGCAAAGTCACCCAGCTAGTGATTGGGAGCACTGTGATGTGTTAATTGGCTTGGAGGCCTTTCACTATCCCCTGTTTCTTTCTTCCTTGAATGGTTGCCCCTCCACTCCTGCGCCTAGCAAAGAATCTGGAACTAGATTGGGAAGAGGAGACATGCTCAACACATTCTTGTTGAATGCCATGGGCACAATGCCCCAATCCAGGAATTCTGACCATGACTTGCTTGCTCTGGTGACTGGTAATTGGGCAATGCAGGGCTTTGCCAACAGAGGAGACTTCTCCAGGTTCCAGGAGAAGAAACGGCCAGTACATTCAGTTCAACCTCTTAACATAGGATTTTGGACTCGGAGAGAGTAAGGTATACACATCCATATGTTATCGTCAGGGATTTATCTGCATTTCTTCCTTGGTGATTAAATGGATCATGTGCTCATGGTATGGTTCTCAACCAGGGGCAGATTTGCCGCCCAGTGGACATTTATGTGTTTGTGTCTGGAGACATTTTTAAGGTTTATGCATCGGCAAGGTGGTGCTAGCGGTATCCAGTGGATAGCTCTGGATACTGTGAAATATCCTACAAACACGGACATCCCCCACATCAAATAATTATTTGACCTAAAATGCCAAGAGTGCTGGAGATGAAAAACCCTGCTGCATGATGGAAAGTAATGGTGCTGGGTTACCTTTCCCTTTAACTCTTTCTCTTGCCGGGTATCTGGAAATCTAAATTACAAGCCCTCAGATTAGTTAATAATCAGCAAACGGGCCTATAGTTAACACATGCTTCTCAAAGAACATATGGCAAAACTTAAATTAACTAGGACAAAACTAGTCAGAACCTTCAATTGACCCACTTTTTCTTTGGCAATACCTCATTTAGGAAACAGGAAAAAAAAATCAAGTTAACAGTAGAGATTTAATTAACAAGAAGGAAAATGAGAAACTTGATATTCCTTTTAGGAGGGGTTCTGCAGTCTGAACAAATCCAATCCATGAGCCTGTGCCTACTTTTTCCCCAACCAAAAGTGTAATGTGTCTGAGGTGGTGATGAACCTCTGTTTTAAAAATCAGTGTGCTAAAAAATAAACGCTTGAGGGGATGGATACCTCGTTATCCATGATGTGATTATTATACACTGCATGCCTCTATCAAAATATCTCATCTACCTCATAAATATATGCATCTACTATGTACCCACAAGAATTAAAAATAAACTAAACACAAAATAAGCTAGAAAAAAAATCAGTGTGTTCAGTCTAGTGAGTAGGGTGGACATATTTAGGGAAATGATCTCAGACCTTAGAAACAGGATAGTCTAGAGATACAAGAATTTTAAACTGAAATTCACCTGGGGCCAGACAGGCAACACAGATGAGTGAGGTTCATGGGCAGGTGACATCATAAGTAAAAGAATAGAATTTATATTTGACTGATTCTGGTTAGTCAGAACATTTCTGCAGGGCAGGTCAAGTGAGTGCTCTGGAAGAAATAGGGTCTAGAAGTCAGGAGTCACGGTCTTTAGACAGAGTACTGCCATTCACGTGCCTGGGATCATGTTAATCATCTTACTGCAAACCGTCTCCATCTCTACTTTTAGAAGGATTCATTTAGGGATTCCCTAAGAACCTTTCCAGTTTGGGGCTTCTATTTTACCTTTTTTTTTTTTAACCACAATAAGACATGAAACAAAAGTGGTTTTCATGAGTGTCACTTAACCAGAAAATTAAAATTCCCCTGAATTTTTATTCCTCCAGACATTCTGATTCATCAAGCTTGCCTGAATATGAATGAGCAGACAGAGGTTTAAAAAAATTCACTGAGAGTCAGGGGCTTCAGAGAGGTAGGTGGACATGCTGGAAAACAGATGAGAAGATGAGAAAGCACAGGCATGTGTGGGTGAGAAAACTGGGTTTTTAGAATGTGCAGGAAGAGATGAAAGGGAATGCTGGAGAGGACACAAACGCAATTACCTGCACATGAGACTTGAGACACAGGGATGTGCTGTGAAGTACACAAACTCACACACACACACACGCACGCACGCACGCACGCAGCCTAGGATTACTACTAGGTGGGGGTAGGGAAGAAGAATAGAAAAATATTTGTTCAGGACTCTCAAAATAACGTACTACATTGTAAGTGGCCACAATGGATATTAGGAGTTGAGAGCCTTTTCTAGTAAAAGTGGGTGTAGGAGGGGAAGGAAAAAGAGAGGAAGAGAGATTGAGAAGAAGAAAAGGCAAGGTGGAGGGAGGAGATGAGAAGAGAGAGAACACAACACAACAGAAAGAAAAAAGAAAAAGAGCAAAAAGAGAGAGTTTCAAGATCTGTGTTTTACGCTGCTCACGTTACCGTAAGTAGCTGTGATTATACTGACTCCTCAGTCCTTTTCAATCATTTCTTTATTCTGGTCTATGATAAAGCTATTTGTTTGTTCTCAAAGCAGTGTTGCAAAGTGATTTTCCCTCGTGTTATGGGAAGAAAGAATTCATTCTCTAGCTGCATCTTCTTTCTCTATTGCTCAGCTAGGAGAGTGCTTGTCAACCCTGGCTGCACAGTGGAACCACTGGGGAGCCTCAGTAAATACTGATTCCTGGGCCCAGCCTTGAGAGATTGTGAGTTAATTGGTCAGGGGTGTGGCCTTGGTGAGGAGAATTTTTTTTTTTTAAGCTTCCTAGGTGATTCCAAAGTTCAGCCAAGGCTGAGAAGCAATGAGCTAGCGGGTCCCCTACTCACAGCATGTACAGCTCAGCAATCTACGAGATCCAAAAGTCCTCTGCAGCTCTTTAAAAATACTGGTGGACTGGTGCCTGGGGTCAGGACTCCATGGGGTTAGGTTACATGGGCTACCTGGGAGGGAGAAGGGAGCCACTTTCTTACCTCCCTGCCATTGACTCCATCATTGGTGGCAATGACAGAAGAAAGACATGTGGCTGGGCATAGTGGCTCATGCCTGTAATCCCAGCACTTTGGGAGGCCAAAGTGGGAGGCTTACATGAGGTCAGGAGTTCAAGACCAGCCTGGACAACATGGTGAAACCCCATCTCTACTAAAAATATAAAAAAAATTAGCCAGGTGTGGTGGCATGTGCCTGTAATTGCAGCTAGTTGGAAGGGTGAGGCAGGAGAATCAGACCTGGGAGATAGAGGCTACAGTGAGCCAAGATTGCCCCACTGCACTCTAGCCTGGGCAACAAGAGTGAAGTTTCATCTCAAATAAAAAAAAAAAATGAAAGACATGTAAGCATCAGTGTACTTAGAATTGGTCTCTGAGCACTCTATAGTTTAAAAGGTTCTGTTTAGAATTATATTTGTTTTTATTCTCCCACAATTTCACAAGGCAGAAATAAACTTGTCCCATTTTTAAGACACGACTCAGATTTGAAAAGGTTCAGTAGCTTGCCCAATATCACTGTTACTGCTGGGCTGGCACTGAGAAATCCCTCTTCTAAATTCTGGGTCCTTCCCCCTCTACTGCCTTCCTTACCTTCTGTGATTGGTTGTGTCATTATGAGGTCAAGCTAGTCCTGCTCAAATACACACATCAATAACTCCTTTAGGAGGATTCCTGGAAAACCCATTGCACAGAGGCTCCTTACTACACCTCTTCCAACTGAAATAGCAGTTACAAAGTTTGGCATTATAGTTTCACCACTGCCCTTCTCTGTCTCCACTTCAATACCAAGCCTGACACTATTTTCTTTGCCATAGGAGACTCCATGACACCCGGGAGACATCCAAAGGACATCAGTTCTTTCCAAATAGCCCAGCATCAAAATATTCCCTTTCCATTCAGTCTACCACATCCATAGATTTGCCACCAGCTCTTCCAAGAATGTAAACACTAAATCCTAGTAGGTCACTGATTGGTGGAGTGGCGGTAATTATAATACGGAAATTATTGCAACTTAAACCAGGATCTTTGGGGGAAATAACCAAAAGAAATCACTCTAATGCTGGAATTTCAGGCACTGCAACAGATGGGTGGCATACATTTGGACAGGACTTCCTACCTTGTTCCCCTTAAATGAAACAACACAAGTGAATGCTGATTACAAGAACAGATTCACCAACAGTTTATGGGGCTTAAGTAAAGCCAGGATAAAGATTGGATCTTCCGTCATATTTTACCTCCTTAAACCAAAATCCTCTTTTAAAAAATCACATATTTTTAGGTGTTCACCATCAGCATATTTATCCTCAGTAAAGAACTCTCAATATTGCACACTATGTGTAGCAGGGATCTCAGAGGTACTGTAGGCAGCCTTCAATAAGAGTGAGACGGCTCAGCAGTGCGCACAGGTGGATTCGTCTGCACACAGAAAGGTCTGGAAAAGCCAAGTTACACACAATTAATGGAACAATGCAGCAATCTGTCTTCAGCTGGCCAAAGCAATTCTATCATTTGTCCCTCAGCTGCAGAACAACCACTCACCCTGTGATTTTGCCTCACTGTCTCTGCTCCATAGTGATTGCATTTATGACAAAATCTGTATTTCCCTGACACTAAGACTGTGTTTCTTTTATTTTTTAAAAATTTCTATTCTAAAAATAATGGAACTTCTTGGAATGCAGAGGCACTGCTTTGCTGTCTGGGCCATTTTTAATCTGCGGGTTTCATATTGACCCTTTTTGCCTATTATTTCAAAAATCATAAAGGTGCAAAGAAAAGAGAGAGCAAGCATGCTGTAGGAAAGAGGAAGCTGCATTATAACTAAAATGCCATTAAAGATAACATATCACTCAGATGTTTTTAACTTCTGATTATATTGCTCAACTCATTTAATCAAAGTAGCATAACATTTCTTGTTGAGAGCTTAAGTCAACATTTGTGGAGTGAACAACAGAACCATTTAACTTGTAAATGACTGCACCTGTGAAGGTGAGGCATTCTCAAGAGGACTGTGCTGGCATAGGCCTATCAGACTCACCACGAGAGGATGCAAAAAGAGGCCTCCACTTCTTCCTGATCCATTTATGAAACGTGACCCCCCACACTACAGGAGTGTCAATCATCTATTGTACTTTCTAGGTGCCGGCAACCTGCTAAATCCTTAATATTTTGTCATTTAAACCCTGCAACAAGCTTTCATCCATCCTTGTCCAGAGTAGTATTAGCATCCTCCCTTTACAAACTGAGGTTTTGGGGGGAAATCTACAACTTGCCTAAGGTCACTTACCATGGTAAGACGTGTCAAGGGAAACACATTGCTTGGGTTCAAATTCCGGCTGAGTAAATTTGGCAAGGTACTTAACCTTTCTGATCCTCAGTTCCTTCATCTATAAAATGGACATAGTGTTGTTATGAAGAAATAAGCCCATTGTTATTAAGAATGAAATAAGTCATTCCTTAGAAAGTGCTTAGAATAGCATCTGGCATATAGCAAGTACTAGATAACTCTTTTCTAAATAAAAGATCAAAGAACAACAAGGTCGCACAGACAGGAAGGTGCTGAACCAGGGTGTAACCAGCATTGTCATCCTGCAAAGCCAGGCTCTCGCCATTTTTGTCTGTGATAGGATGAGACCCAAAAACCTGAGTTTCTGAAAGCACTAGGCCTAAAAGTGGGATATGGAGGCAGTGAAGTCTGGAGACACACATGGCTTCCTTCCCAGTTTTCTAACTGGCCAGGCCTTAGCCCATACACCACTCACTGATTTTGTCCTGGTTCTTTAATGGCTTGGCTTTACCACTGTGGTCTGGCAGCCCTGGTGATGAACCTACCCCTGGAATACTTGTGGGCATGTGCACACACATTTGTGCATACATATCTTCCAGTTTCATAGGAGCTGAAGGCTAGTGGCCAGCTACATGGGCCTTTTGTTGATACATCAAAACTCATTTCCACATCTGAGCTGCTTTCTATCTGTAGTCGATTCCTGGAGGTGAAAAGCTGCTACGCACCTTGCAATTGTTATCCAACTCCCAAAGTCTTATTTAATATTGGCAATATTAAATCATACTGGCCCTCGGGACACTAAGCATACATCTTCAGCTGAAACAGATTTGCTGGTGTTTATTTAAGGAAGCTTTTTCTTTGTGTGCTCACAGCCATAGTTGTTGGATGCTGCTCAAGTAAATGTAACAAACAATGAAGTA